CTAATTTAAGTACATCTCGACCCCTCCCTCCAGACTTCCAATAAATTACAGTTAATTAAGGATCCAGAAGCTTGGCCTATTGTTGGTCTTCCCATGCAAAAAACCCGGCGGCAATTTGCTTTGAAATATTCATATTTACAATACTTAAGCCAAAAAATTGGCTCTCTTCTGCTACAATGTCGCAGAGGCCAAAGAAAAGAACAGCTCTTCCGCCAGCTCGCCTCTGTGTCTAAACAATGGCAATTATAACGTAATTAAGTGAGCGTTCAATTTTTCGTGTCTTTGACGTCATTCAGTTGATGTCAACAACGAAGAACATCCAAGTATTATTTTTTCCGTTCACGTTCTGGCAACATGTAGCATGTTCCACTAAAAAAAGTACCGGCTTGTTGAGTACTTTTTTTGAAAATCCTTTTGAAAATTTCATAAATTCATTAAAAGCGAAGCAAAGCCAGCACGCGACATTTAAAACACTTATCTACAACAAAAACAGCAACAACAACGACAACAATTGAAACTGGCAATAAAAAATATCCTCTCTAACCCCTTACTTCTCTTTGGAATATTTCTTAAGCCAATTTTGATGTTCCCCACCTCTAGAAACCTATACATTTTAGACAAATGTAACCATACCTCCCCCTCGCCCCATTCTCCACCCTCCCACCTTGCAGCGTTAAAGGGTTGTATTGAAACAATTTCATTTTCCCGGCTTTGTGTGGCGTCAAAGACTTTTGACTTTTGGCGCTTTGTGTGGATGTTTTGTGCATTCCATGCCATGCCAGGGCATGCCACACCACGTCGAACCAACAACAACAACAATAGACGCCGTCATCATCATCGCACTTGGTTGAAGTGTCTTTATCCTTCGAGTTTTGTATGCCACTGCAGTGTGAGCAAACCCGACCGACCGAGCGACCAACCAACAACAACCACTCTCTGGTGGTTTTGTTTATTTGTTGTTTTTGTTGGCTGCTGGCTGGCTGGCAGCAGCTTTGGCAACATTTTTTGTTTATTGCTTTTGATGTTCTCTCGTCGTAAAGAGTTCCGATTGTTGTCCCCACCCTCCAATACAATTCAACCCATTCACAACACCCTCCATATGTTTGCAGCCCTGTTGTTGGGAACTACCTCCACCCCTTCTTCGAGCTCAGCGATTTATTGTTGTTGTGTGAATCTAATGAATTATGTTGTTATTTTAAGAGAATGAATGAATGGATGGTCGGTCGGACAAATGTTCATTTTCGTAGTTGGAGTTTGTTATTAGCTATAATCGTCAGAGCAGCAACAACAACAATACAAACAACAACCAAAATGTTTCAAAATTAATTACAACAAATAATTCAAATACAAATGTTGCCATCGTCGTGTTGTTTACTCGCTGACCTCGTCTGGATGGTCGCGTTTAATTTGCTCTAATTGTTCGGCGGATTAATTGGAAAAGGACAATTGATATTATTCGATATTCGGATAATGGGAAGTTAATTCGGATAAAGGGGAATTAATTCGGATAACGGTAAATTTATTATCCATAGCTGTTGTAACGTGAGGCCCACATTACCCGGATACCAATGTTATCCGTTTTATCCTGATATTCTGAAATGTTATGTTATCCTTCGAATATGCTGAAGTGTTTTCCAATGTAACCTGATACTGTAACAATTATATCCCTATCCGGATGAGACAAAACTGTTATCCACATTATCCTTATACGTTAAAAATCTTATCCGCGTTATCTGGATAATCTAAAAATGCTATCCACGTTAGTTTTAAAAGGTAAAACTATTATCCAGGTTATTCAGATACTGTAAAAATGATATCCGCTTTATCCTAATTGAGTAAGAATGCCATCCATTTTATCCTCTTGTGATACAAATGTTATCCAAATTATCCTGGCGTATTTAAAAAATTATCTACTTCGTCCTGAAACGCTAAAAATGTTATCCAAGTTATCCTGACGTATTTAAAAGTTTATCCACTTTATCCTGACACGTTAAAAAAGTTATCCACGTTGTTGTGATACGTCAAACATTTTATCCGCGTTATTTTGATAATGTTAAAACGTTATCCGATTTATCCGGATACTCTAAATATGTATTAAGATGTATTAAGAAATGTTATCCGTGTTATCCTGATTCTGTAAAAATATTATCCACGATACATTTATAAGCTAAAAATATTATCGAGGTCATCCTGATACTCTACAAATGTTATCCACGTTATCCTAATACAGTGAGAATGCTATCCACATTATCCTCATGCGATAAAAATGTTATCCTGATGTATTTAAAAGTTTATCCACTTTATCCTGACACGTTTAAAATGTTATCCACGTTGTTCTGATACGTCAAACATATTATCCGCGTTATCTTGATAATGTAAAAACGTTATCCGCTTTATCCTGATACTGTAAATATGGTATGTCTGTTATTCCGATGTATTAAAAATGTTATCCGTATTATCCTCATACTGTAAAAAGATTATCCACGTCACCTTTATAAGCTAAAAATATTATCGAGGTCATCTTCATCTCTACAAATCATCATCATCTCTACAAATGTTATCCACGTTATCCTAATACAGTGAAAATGCTACCCACATTATCCTCATGCGATAAAAAATGCTATCCTGGTGTACTTAAAATGTCATCTCTTTATCCTAGCACGGTAAAAATGTTATCCACGTTATCCGGATACATTAAACATATTATCCGCATTATTTTTATATTGTAAAAATGTTATCCGCTTTATCCTGACGCTGTAAAAGTGATGTCCATGTTATCCCGATATGTTAAACATGTTATCCGTTTTATACACATACTGTAAAAATGTTATCCACGTTATCTTTATACGGCAAACTCCCTATCCAGATTATTCTAATGCGATTAAATTATTATCCACGTTATCCGGATACATTAAACATAATATCCTCATCATTTTTATATTGTATAAATGTTATCCGCTTTATCCTGACGCTGTAAAAGTAATGTCCATGTTATCCCGATATGTTAAAAATGTTATCCGTATTATCCTCATACTGTAAAAAATGTTATCCACGTTATCCTCATACGTCAAATCCCCTATCCAGGTTATTCTAATGCGATTAAATTATTATTCGCGTTATCCGAATACGTTAAACATATTATCTGCGTTATCTTTATATTGTAAAATGTTATCCGCTTTATCCTGACGCTGTAAAAATGATGTCTATGTTATCCCGATATGTTAAAAATGTTATCCGTATTATCCTCATGCTGTAAAAATGTTATCCACGTTATCTTCATACGACAAAATCGTTATCCAAATTATTCTAATGCGATTAAATTTTTATCCACGTTATCCTGACATAATTTAAATGTTATCCTCTCTATGCTAAAAGGCTGCAAATGTTATCCACTTTATCCTGCTAGGATCCAGGTCATTCTGATATTGTAATAATGTTTTCCATGTTAATCCGCGTTATGCAAATGTAGTAAACATGTTATCCACGTTATCCTGATGCAATTAAAATGTAATCCACGTTATTCTGACATGGTAAAAATGTTATCCACGTTGTTCTGCCACAGCACAATTGTTGTTCTGATACGATAAACTGTTACCAACACCATCAAAATGGCATAACAATGTTATCCATTTTATCCTGATGGAGTGTACATTTTATCCATATTATCCTGAAGGGCCATAAACGTTATCCACGTTTCCCTACTTGGCTAAATATGTAATCCACGTAACCTAATAGCCTGTGTATGTTATCCACGTTATCCCGATGGTCCTAATAAACTGTAAATATTATCCGTGTTATCCTGAGTTGCTGTATATTTTATCCATATTTTCCTGATAGGCTGTAAACGTTATCCACGTTATCCTAATGTTCTCTTAATGTTATTCACGTGATAGGCTGTAATGGTTAACCATTATCTGCGTTATCCGAATAGGATGCAAATGTTATCCGGTTTATCCTGATAGACTGTACATATTATTGACATTATCCTTACAGACCTTTAGTGTTATCAACATTGTCCTGATAGTCTGTAAATGTTATCCACATTTTCCATGTTATTCTGAGAGGCTGTAGAAAATATCCACGTTATCTATATGAGCTGTAATTTTTATCCATGTTATCCAGATATGTTGTAAACTTTATCCACGTTACCGAAATGGCCTGTAAGTGATATTTGCGTTGCCTTCATAGGATTAACACGTTTTCACGTCATCCTGATAGGCTACAACTGTTATCCATGTTATCAAGATAGGATGTAAACGTTATCCGTGTTGTTCTGAAATTTTCTCTACCTTTTTCCGGGTACAATATGCCGGCACACCTTGTGGTCTAAGAATTGCTAATGTTAGATACGACCACGTAATGTAATGTTAGATACGACCACGGAACTCAGCCATTTTTATGCCAAAATGTTTCAATTTACCACTAAACGCCTTCCGTTTGTCTTCTCAAGTGCCTTCAAGTCAGGGATGAGTACTTCTTGACAATTTCAATCAAGATAAAGCAAGCCAATTTTTTTATTAAATTTTTTATTTAAAATGCCACCAATAAACGTCTTATCTGCGATATGCAAAAAAGGAGGAGCAGGCAAAAGTCAATGAACGACGGCAGGGCGATAGCATTTCATCAAAATTTGCCAAACCCGAAACAGTTTAAAGGCAAGCGTGGCTCATGGGGTTCGTTAACTCACTACCAAGTGAAGCGTTTAAATTTTTGCAAAAAAGAAGGAAAGTCGCAAAAACCCAAAATTACTTATATAAATAGAAACATTTTCATCAAAAGATGTTTATCTATCCCTTAGCACGAGTCGGTTTCAAAGATTTAAATAAAATTTATCAGCAAATATTTGGCAACATGCAAATTTTTTCCTCTATCCTGCAAAAAAAGAAGAAGATGAAAGGGTGTGCCCTACTCCCACCCCCTTATCCTTGTAATATTTTTTTCTTTCTAAACAGATCTCAATGTCGAAACTGTCAAATTGGTTTCATGTACATTTCACTTACGCCTTAAATCCCGGGGATCGGAGGCATTGCTGCGTGGACTTTCACCCTTTTCGGCATCGTAGTCGTTGGAGCCCTCCAATGATTCGTGGGATGTGCATGTGGGACTGGCTGAGTCGGTGCGAAACGAGTCATTGCCATTGAAGAGATTCTGCAGAGAGAGAGAGAGAGAGGAAGAAAACATGGAAAATTAAATTTATTTTTTTTACAAATTTACCCAACAAATAATCATTGCTGGTCTGGCCTAGCCAAGACGTAGTCTAGCACCACCACTTACCTGGTCCAGTGAAATTCCAATGTATTTTGGCGGTGAAAATGCCGATGGCAATTGGAAATTACCCAACACCGACGGCTTGCCCAGAGCGGCTCGTTCGCTGGCAAAGTAACTGGCCGCCGCCGCTGAGCCATTTGCCGCCAGCATGTTGTGGTTGAGGGTCTGCAGGAGATGGGGATGGAAGGTGTGCAGCAAGTGGGAGCCATAACTGCCGACTAGTGACATGTTGTGGAGATCTTTGGCGTCAGGTAACTGCAAGAAAGGGTACTGTGAATGAGTAGAGTTGGGCTAAAATCGATGTTGAGGCAAAGATAACAAGGGTTATAAGGAATTTTCCAACCCACCACAACCCACCGTTCCTCATATTTTCTCAAATTATTGATTGGTTTATCATTTGATGACAACTTAAGCCAACTTGACCCCTTTTAGAGGGTTGGGAAAAATGGGAAACTTATGCAAAAAAGTATTGGGAAAATACATATGGTCAGTTTGTAGATAATCCTTATTTTTTGCCCAATGACAAGGGTCAGGGTTATGGAAAATATTGGCAATCATTTTTTAGAAAAAAAAAATAAAACTCTGTCGAATTGTGATGACCCTGACTAAAGGAACTATTGCTGGAAGTGGGATTTCTTGTTATGTCCTTTTAGATTTGCGTGTAATCTGCATTCCTAATCCTTGAATTGAAGGATTAACGTAAAATGTGTCAAAAATATTTATTTTCAGATAAAATTTCCAATTAAAATAATAAAAGTCTGTTTTTGTCTTATATTCACAAAATTTAGAAAAAAATTGAAAAATCTGGGATGATGAACTCGTGAATTTCTGAATGAATTCTTTTAAAACTGGAGATTTTTTGTAGACTCTGAAACCTTTTGAAGGACTCTAAAATCTGATAAAGAGAAATCTGAAATTAAAACGTTAAAAATTGTATCCATGTTATCCACTTTATCCTTATGCGAAATGTTATCCCAGTTATCCTGATGAGATTTAAATGCTTTTCAGGATATCCTGACACGGTACTCTGCTCCGATAAACTGTAACCAATACCAAATACGATAAAAAGCCTACCCACGTTGTCCTGATGCTATTGAAATATTATTCACGTTGGCTTGATAGACTTTAAATTTTATCCATATTATCCTGATAAACGTTATCCACGTTATACTGATAGGCTGTAAAAGTTATCCTCGTTATCCTGATAAGATGTAAAAGTTATCCACGTTATCCTGATAAGATGTAAACATTATCCACGTTATCCCTATGGTCCAGGTTATCCTGTTGGGCTGTAAATCTTATCGACGTTATCCAGAGAGAGAGAGGGAGTGTAAATTTTATCCTCGTTGTCCTTAGTGGATGTAGACATTATCCACGTTATCCAAATAGGCTTTAAATGTTATCCACTTTATCCCGATAGGATGTAAACGTTATCAGCGTTTTCTTTATAGACTATAAATGTTATCCACGTTGCTCTGATAGACTTTAAACTTTATCCTGATAGTCTTAATATATTTTCCTCGTTCTCATAATAGAATAATCCATGTTATTCTGATAAGATGTAAACGTTATTCACGTTATCTCTATGGTCCAGGTTATCCTGATGGACTGTAAATCTTAACCATATTATCCAGAGAGTGTAAATGTTATCCACGCTGTCCTTAGAGAATGTAGACATCCATCCACGTTATCCAAATAGGCTTTAAAAGTTATCCACTTTATCCAGATAGGATGTAAACGTTATCCGCGTTTGTTTATAGACCACAAATGTTATCCACGTTGCTCTGATAGACTTTAAAGTCTCCAAAATAAAGTCTTAATATATTTTCCTTGTTCTCATAATAGTTTTTTTTTTAATATTATCGATATGCTGATATACTGTAAGACTTCTAATATTATCTTTAAGAGAAATCTGAAGTTTTTTACAATCTGATATAGAGATTTTAGAGTCCTTAAAAAGGCTTCAGATATCTCCAAAAATACGATATTTTTATTGTATTTTTTATTGGGAAGAAGTTTCAAAGGCTATTTTTAATTAAAAATTTTCAAGGGCTCGAAGTCTTCAATATTAAACTTTTAAAGAAACTTTCTCTAAGGTCTCTGTATCTGGGATTGGAGTTTTGAAGCTAACATCGTGAATTTTGTAAGAAAATTCAAATACTGAGGTGAAGTTTCGTTGAAGAAGTTTAAAGGATTTTTATGTAGAAAGGATTCTTTGAAAGATGATATAAGATTTTTTTAATGGACATCTTTTTAGGGACTATGTAACGTGGCTTGAAAAAATTTTGAAGTTCTTTAGAAGGTGATATTTTTTAACATTAAAGTACTCTGAATCTTGGACCTACGATTTTTTTTTTTGTTCTTTTTAGGATGTTTTACATTTTGTTTTATTTTATTTATTTATTTTTTTTTTTTTTGAAGAACTCGGAAGGATAAGGATAACAAATTCCTTCGGCTTTGAAAACATTTTCAAGAATTTTTGACGGAACTTTTTCCAAGTCCCGGCCTAGAGAAAGAAGACTAGAATTGTGAAAATGATAAAAAAATATTTTTTCCAAAGAAATTTTGGCATTTGGGGCTGGTAACCCCTTCCAAAAAATTCCATTTCTTATCTTTCCCTCTTCAAAATACCTGTATGGGAGTATAAAACACTTTTCTCGAAGTGGTTGACCACTTGGTTTGCTAAACTCCCCAGTTGGCGTCCTAGCTGTGATAAATACCCCTGTAATTATCGCTCAAACTCCAAAATAAAACCATGGAGGTAATATCCTGTAGAGGATGACACATGTGTATTTTGCTGGCAGACAAAAAGCCTCTGATAAACCCCATTTATTTTGTGGTTTTAAGTCCATGGCATGGCGATGCGGGACAAAGCCAAGTGTTAATGGTTATCATTCAAATACTTTCCTCTATTGGAAAGAGGAGGAGGAGTTGGCGATAAGAGGTATTTGAGTGGGGAATGCTGTTGGTACTGACAAGTCATGCTAAGCCTATCAGGCAGGCAGTTGAACTCCAACATTTTTCTAAATCACAACACCAGTATGGTGTGTCAACACAAACTCCAATTCTCTTTCTCCCCCCAAACCCCTAAAAGCTGTGAGTAATTGGTGTCTATGTTGCTGATGTGTGGTGTTTCACACATCTTGGGAAAGAGAAGGAGTTTGGAGAAAGGTGGTAGCATGATGTTACCGATTTGATAAGTGTTAATTTGTTGCCATCAACACGAACACATTATGTGCCTGATTACTCGCCCAAGAAGACTTTAATAAAATTATAAAATTTCTGACAAAATTTGGTGGGGATGGAGATCATATCCAAATTTCGCTTAAAATAAATTATGTCACGATTTTTATGAGTTTCTTAAATAAATCGCCCACAAATTGTAATCGAACTTGAAGCGAGCAGAAAAAGAACACCAGAAGCTATGACACAAGTAGTTTTTTATGCAAATTTTCCACATAACAGACTTTTCCCATCAACATCTTCCGAGCACACATCATCAGGCGGCATTCATGCATGGAGGAAAAGCAATTTTCACCACAAAAGGAAATTTGCAAAAAAAAATCGTTTTTCTTTTCCACCCTGGCAAGGCACACTTCCCATAACCGAAAAACAACATACATGTATATGTGATACTCAACTCATATCTGTATGTGTATATGTATGCATGTATGTTTGGCTTGTAAATGATATGTTTAGTGGGTTATTGTCATACCCAAACATATCCATCCGAAAGAAATTACTTTTCAAACATCATCGTTTACATCCTTTAAACAACAACAACACCCATTACATGGTGTAACAACAACCCCCCTTGCCTTGGTATCGAAAATATACAACAGCATTTTCACCCATCATGTAGCCAGCAAAATCTCTCTCCCCCTCGGAAGTTTGTGATTTTTTTTCGTTTCAAACGATGTTTGTGTCGTCGGAGATGATGACGATGATGATGACTGTGATGACGATAATCGTTGGCTGATGGGTATTCCATATTCCAATAATGACAATATTTAAATCCTTTGCAATAAATAACATAACGCTTAAAACATGTGCAGATTTTTTTAGGATTTTTTTTTGTATCTAAAAAATCACATTTGAAAAAAGGGGTTGGGTTGAAAATTGCCCAACCTCAACATGGACTAATAATTTTCAAAAAAAAAAAAAAAAAAAAAAAAAACAAAAAAATGAATAAATAAATAATAATAAAAATAGTAAGTTTACAGTTTACCGAATTTAGTAAAAGTGGTAGTTGAATTGCCATTTGCAAAACAAATCTTTATAAAGTAGGTTAACCCCACAACAATAAAAACAGTCATTTCGGCCGGACCGAACTTTGAATACCCTCCATCATTTGGAACGATTTTGGAAATTTAAAAAAAAAAATTAATAAAATCCATAAAAAATCTGTTAAAATCTTAAATATACCGAATATAGCCGTTATATGGGGGTCCATATGAAGACGTGGACCTGCAGAGCCAACTTTTGTCATAGGCCATTACAATACTCAAATACGAAACTTAAAAAAATCCGGTAAATAATGTAGCCAAAACTATCAAAACACAGAATATAAGGAGGTATCGTTATATCGGGGCCATGCGACAAATTTCCGTCACAGGTTGTAGTACAAATACGAACTTTTTAAACAATTTCGGTGAATATTGTACCAAAAATCGTCAAAATACCGAATATAGGGAGATACTGATATATGGGGCCTATATACGAAAACTGGACCTGCATAGACATTCTTCGGACATAGACTATAGTTCCCATTACGGACTCTAAATACTAAATTTAAAACAATTTCGATGAATATTATACCTAAAATTGTCAAAATACCGAATATAGGGAGGTACCGTTATATGGTGGCTATACGATATCGTGGTCCGATATAGCCCATCTTTAAACTTCACCTGCCTGCAGACAAAGACTCATCTGTGCAAAATTTCAGCTTCCTATCTTTATTCGCTTTGACTCTACTGTGATTACAACAAACGGACGGACGGACGGACAGGGCCAAATCGTCTTAGAATTAAACGCTGATCAGGAATATAAGTACTTTATAAATACTATCTATGGTGGAGGGTATAAACAGTATTTTCAATGTTCGCAATATCCTGATATATAATAACTTATCAAATCGGTCATAATTCGATTTTAGTCCTTAAGTTTCAGTATGGTGTAATGGAATAAAGGTATTATCATTTCAAAGAAGCATTCCCAGCTCTGCATTTTCTATAATTTGCCTTGTCAAATTGCTCTGTTCCAGAATC